CCTGGGGACCAAAGCCCCACTGGAGCCTGCGGGTTGGCTCTGGGAGGCAGGGGCATTCACTGGATTCTGAGAGTAACCAGCTCTCCAGGGAAGTTCCTGCTCCTGTTTGATAAGGGATGCTCTTTTTATACTGCATGTGGAGACAGAAGAGGAGCTGCTTACACATCAGGGCCTCAGATCCATATGGAAATCAGTGCTCCTGGGAACATGCAGGCCTAGAGGTAGAAGCTGTAGGGGAGGGTGCAATTTTGGCACCTGGGAGAAACATGAGGGACTCAGTGGTTTGGAGCAGCTCTTTTCTTACCACAAAGATGAGATGCCCCAGATCTCACATGGTCTGGGGATGGAGGGAAGAGGCTCTATAGCCCCCAGTGGGCCTGGGGCGAGGGCTGCGGCATTGTCATCCAAGGTCAAATAGAAAGGAGAGCCTGATCCCTCTGTCTTTTCTGCCAAAGTCCTTAATAACAGCTGATGTTTTTTGATTTTATATTCTGCCACTTTACTGAATTCCTGTATGAGTTCTAGCAGTTTTGGGGTGGAGTCTTTTGGGTTTTCCACATAAAGTATCCTATCATCTGCAAAGAGTGAGAGTTTGACTTCTTCTTTGCCGATTCGGATGCCTTTTATTTCTTTTTGTTGTCTGATTGCTGTGGCTAGGACTTCTAATACTATGTTGAATAACAGTGGTGATAGTGGACATCCCTGCCATGTTCCTGACCTTCTTCCTACCTTACAACATTTTAATTTTCTTCTTCAGAGTGATTTTTGGAAATGTCCCAGTGCACAACACCATCAGCATCTATATTTTCTCTTTCTCTCCAAACAACAGGATCACCTACTATTTGCATGTGCTGGAATACACAGGCAGAGTGCTTTCTGTGTTACGCTGTATCTTCAGAGATGTTATCCCATTTAATTTTCCTCCCCTGAGGAAGATGTGATTCTTCCTATTTTACAGGCTCAGAGAAGTAAAGCAATTTGTCCAAGGTCACCAATGAGAAGTGGAGACTCAGAAGAAGAACCAGACTGCTTTGGGGTGTAACCCCAGGGGCCTGCCTCTTCACCTGACCCTGGGCTCCCTCTTGATTACACTGCTTCACCCTTCCATGTCCACCTCACACAGGCTTTAAGGACTTTAATAATTTTGACCCAGAAGGTAGGGCTCCCTGTTTTTCCCCAACAGGGTTTTCATTTAGGAGCTACTGCTTGAAGGTAGTCTAAATAGTGATTACCACCCCAAAGTAGACTTGTTACCAGTTTTATGTAATAAATTCCAACAATACTGAGAAATTCTTTAGTGTCTGAAAGATTATAGTCAACAGTTTGGGGAAAGGGGGAAGGAAACTTTGTCTCTTCTTTAGTGATCTCAGGCAATGGTTTTCCCAGGGGTTGGATAGTGGTGTCCCTGTTAGGCTGTCATTCCTGTCCTGCTACAGTTTGAATGGGTAGTTTTAGTTCATTTGGGATGATTTTTCTGTGTTTGTATGGAATGCAGTGTGTGTGTGTGTGTGTGTGTGTGTGTGTGTGTGTACATGAGTATGGACGCATGCCATTTTTAGGGCCATATTAAGAGACTAAAATAAGGGATGCCTGGGTGGCTCAGTCATTTGAGCATCTGACTCTTGATTTCAGCTCAGGTCATGATCTCAGGGTCGTGAGATCTAGTCCTGCATCAGGCTCCACACTCAGCTGGGAGTCTTCTTAAGATTCTCTTTCTCTCCCTCTCTCTCCCCCTCTGCCCCTCCCCTCACTCATGCTCTCTCTCTCTCTCAAAAAAAAAAAAAGATATTAAAAGAAAAGATAATGGGATGATGGTTCTTTCTCTTCTTGCTTCTATCTGGAAGGCATCTGGGTTTGGTGTGCGCACACTGTAAATGCACATGCGCATGTGGATGCATGTCTGCATTTTAGCACACCCCTTCTCCCATCTATAGAAGTAACAATAAAATATTAAAGAATGCACCCGATGAAAGCCTGGTTAATGTCAGATAAGAAGGGTCCAGAACCTGCCTTGCTGCCAGGTATAATCCTGTTCCCACTCATAGGGACATAAAATCAGCCGGCTGTGGTCCAACATCCTCCCTGTTTTCTTAGTAAACCAGCTGTACACCAAGAAGCATGCCTCCCATTGCTATGTGTGCTGCCTTCATGCACCTGTTTTAATCCACTTAATAGTCTGCTCAGACAAATACACACACAAAAAGCCTACTCATCCCCCTGTTTGTTGTTTTCATGGTATCATTTGAGAAACAGACCTATTTACTGTACATCTCCTGTCTTTGTGCTTCTATATCTCTTTCTTAAATCATTTTTTTAACTTTTCAGAATTTAAATATTGTGATTTTATTTTTTTATTTTTTTAAAGATTTTTTATTCATTTATTTGACAGAGAGAGACATAGTGAGAGAGGGAACACAAGCAGGGGGAGTGAGAGAGGGAGAAGCAGGCTTCCCGCTGAGCAGGGAGCCCAATGCGGGGCTCGATCCCAGGACCCTGGGATCATGACCTGAGCCAAAGGCAGATGCTTAACGACTGAGCCACTCAGGTGCCCCAAATATTGTGATTTTAAAGGGTTAAAAATACCAGGCACTTGAAGCTGAACTAATTTACAAAAGCACCAAGGATTATTAAAAACTGGTAAATTTAACTGTTACATAAATGCACCTCTCTGCTAATAGATGGTATGGTTTGAGAGAATCTGAAATTGGCCGACTCTAAGAACAATTTCCCTTTGATAAGTGCTCACTTTAAACATTTTCCTGTCTAACCCCCTCCATGTATGAGGTACAACATCCAGACGGAGTTCCAATAGGTAAACAGCCTTGGGAGTTTCGTTTTTATGTACATATGAATGTATGTATTTTAAGTAGGCTCCATGTCCAGTGTGGAGCCCAACACGGGGCATGAACTCATGACCCTGAAACCGAGACCTGAGCTGAGACCAAGAGTTGGATGCTTCACCAACTGTGCCACCTAGGTGTCCTGTCTTGGGAACTTTAATTTCTTCTATCTCCTCTCAGTTCCCTCTCCCTTATGCGCCTGTATCTACCCTCAGAGCCTGTAACTGTTGAAATCCACTGCATCCTCTAAGACTGAACTTAAATGTCATGTGTTTTCATTCTGCAGTCTCTGATCCTATACACAAATATAAATCACACCCTTGTCTGTGCGCCTTCATGTTCTGCACTTTTTTCTAGTGCATTCTACTAGACAGGAGCTGTACACACCCATTCCTGATCATCCCACGAGAAAGAAAGTTCACTAAGGGCAGAGAGACATCTTTGTGGTCCTCTGCCATGCTCCACTACCAGCACCAAAGGTGTGGAGAGAGGAAATATGGGGAAAACCAGCTTCTGCATTTTAAAACTTCACTCACTTGTAAAGATACTTTTCCCCATGAAGCTCTCCTTAATCCCCTCAACATGACAGTTCTATCCTCTTCTGAAAGGCACATCTATAACACATATTATATTATTCTCCATCTTGCATTAGTATTAGTAAGCTCTACATTCTTCCTTGTTATCTCCTCTTCCAAAACCTAAGCTCTTTCATTCATGAGGGTAAAGCCGATAGATGATGTATTTACATCCTTTATAGGGCCTTGTATCTATTAGAGCACAGATATGTACTTGTGGAATGGAAAGATTTTTGTGATTTTAAAATATATCAAAGTTACAAAATACAATCAAATTTATAAATCAAACATATTTGATTAAATATAACCAAGTTACAAAATATATTTCTTTTACTGGGGAAAAATGGATCAATATTGGTTCACATTGGTCCTCAGCTCTTGTGTTTCCTTAATATTTCATCAATTTATTATTTTTTATTAACCATTTCAATTCTGGACTTAAATGATCTGACAATTTGTCTTCAGATTTTTGCAAATCAGTCCCTCCAGAGTATGAAATTTAGAAGTCAAATTTATGTATTGGACATTTACAAAACATATTTTAAAGCAGCCCTATTTCAGAACTGTAATTTTTTCATGATATAAAAGTATAGCAAATAAATAGTTTGATATTTTCATTGTTATGTTGGAAATAATGGACTAACTAGAATAAATTCTTAGTGAAATAAAACGGAGACCAGTCTTTGTGCAGCCAGCTTAAATATGTCTCTATCTCACACACACACACACACACACACACACACCCCACTGTGTTTCACTTTTAAATTCAATCCCCCTAATAAGTGATACGGTAGAGGTCCTTTCCAGCCTATCAATAATACAACTAAAATAAAAAAGAAAAAGGCTGATCAAAGCCTTTTCGAAAGAAATCACACTTTATCCAACAGAAAATTATACACATGGACAAAGACGTGTCATTGGCTGTAAACTAGATGCACAGCCATTTGCTAAGAAGCAGCACTAAGTGAAAGTTGGCCCATTTCATGCCCTTTCTTTGGTGCTTCAGTTACCAAAGTACAAAATAATTTCATTATATGTTGCCCTCTCCTATGAAATGGGTCAACAACATGGACCCTAGGCATGGTGCTACATGTTTCCGTCTTGTTGTAGTTGTGTGTCTTTGGTAATGAAGTTTCTGCTTGATTTCATAAGGGTCTTTAAAAGGAAACCTATGGCCAAGCCAGTTTGCAAATAATAAAATGCATAGATTCAGACCTCTGAAAAGAGCGCATATGAGACCACGCGTTAGGCTCTTCTGCAATAAAATCCATAGAGGAGGAATGTGGGTGCTAAAGCCAGAGGCCCACTCACCTGATGGGTTGCCCAGAGCCTGTGCCCATGGCCATGGGAACCAAGGGTGGGGGGAGCATGTGGCCCCAGACACCAGGGCACACGGTCAGGCTATTGCAACTGGTTGCATTTTTGCCCTCATTTTCAGTTGTGCTCCCAGGAGAGCAAAACCTTAAGCCTCAGCCATAGCGAACCAATGTTTTGTTTTGTTTTCAAACAAGTCTGTATGGAGACAATGGCAAACTGAATCACAGAAAGACCTATTTAGGTAAAACAAAGCATTCTTCTTCCTTACTTTTGACCGTGAGGTACATGGACTTGCTGACGTCCGCGCCCACATCGTTGCTGACCTTGCACAGGTAGTAGCCGCTGTCTTCCTCCACGACGTGCTTGATCAACAAGGACCCGTTGCTCAGGACCTGAATTCGGCCATTGAGGGCAATGGGTTGGAACTGGGGAACCCCAGCACCTGGAGGAGAAGAGAAAGGAGGGAAAATGATGCAATGTGAGCAAATATGGGGAGACAGTGAGCTCAAGTTCACCCAGACTAGTAAAGAGAAGGGAAGGGTATTTCACGTACAGAGGGCAGTCATGGGAGCCACCATTTTTTTTTTCCCAATGTGGACATTCCTGTTTGGAGAGAAATACATTTACTTCAAATGGCACTATTTCCAACTATTGGAACTCTGGGATAAAGAGTAAGAGATCTTACAGGTTGTTTCTACACACACACACACACACAAAACAAATTTGGTGAGTGTTAAGTAGCTGACAAATTATTCAAAGACATTGCTGTGGAACAAGCACAGGAGTGGATGTCTATCCTGAGATGAAGTAGAAGCCTTGTGTCCCCAGGGAATTCACACGAAGGTAAACAAGGAATGCCCTAGGGACAGGGCCCTGGAAGACTCTGCTTGCAGCACACACCTGAGTCTACAGAGAGGATACAAGTATTGCAGGTTTCTCTTCTAAGCACGGTCATATCCCAGTCTAGAAACACATGCATGTCAATATCGTTTAATGTTATTTAAATAAATAAGTCAGATCATGCCACTAAAATAGCACAGTATTCAAACACTACTCTCCTCAGAGTATTGCGTTCAAGGAGATAATGCCACGGACGAGATATGCTGTGGTCATAGATGTGATAGGACTCACATGGGAGATCCGTATGAAACTAATCTTTTAGAAATAATGAAAAGCAGGACTATGGTCTCTGGAGAGTTCTGGGAAGATGATGGTTTGGATTAACCTGCTACATTGCTTGCCCCTGTGTGAGGGGCTTTGGGCGGGACTAGGAGGGTATGATCCAAGCCTCGAAGGGCTGAAAGAGCGTCTCTATTTTGTGACTGGAGTCTGAGGATTTAGGGAGAGGGCTCAGGGGTGAGGGCCAATTCCATCTTCCTGGAGGAAGCTCACAGCGTGAGCCAAGTGTGTGCTCTAGAGAGGGCCTGCTGGTTTCCATGGCCCCAGATCCTGCATGGGAGCTGAGCATGTGCACTGTCACCATCCTCCTCATGCAGGAAATGTCAGACTTTACATCCTAGGGCAGGAGAAGGGAGACTTCCTCCTGCTGTCTCTATGCCAAACTGATCACTTACGTGTTGGTCCCTCTCAGCTCACAGTGACAGAGACGGTGGCTGTGCCTTCCCTTCCTTCACTTCTATACTAGGTATCAGCCCCACCAAAGGGACAAGGGAAATGAATAGTATGTCAAGGGGACATTTCACATTGAATAAGAAGGACAAGCAGAATCCCTACAACAGGTGGTTTTTATCAAAACAGAACTGGTACAGAGGGAATATGAAAACTTGAATTAAAAAAAAATAGAGTTCCAGGGGAGGGGGCTGGGGGGTTGGGTTAGCCTGGTGATGGGTATTAAAGAGGGCACGTTCTGCATGGAGCACTGGGTGTTATGCACAAACAATGAATCATGGAACACTACATCAAAAACTAATGATGTAATGTATGGTGATTAACATAACATAATAAAATAAAAGTAAAAAAATAGAGTTCTGCTATGGCTAAGGATGGAGGAAGACACAAAAGAATGTCCCTCTCATTCTAACAACAAAAAAGAGAGGCTGTTAATCCACAACATCATTCTTCTCTTTGAGTAATTCAGAAAGCTGAAGTCATAGGTGACTAGGTAAACTCAGTTGCAGAGTTAAAAGCCCTGCAAGGAGATGTGGGTATATAAAGAGTTGCACCTTTGGCACAGGATGGGAGGCCAAGGACCTCGGCATAAAAGAGGACAAGGAGTGAAGAACTGGAAATAAGTTAGACCTACCACAATCTCTACTTCTCTTTTACACACCAGGGCCAGAATTCAACAAAATATTGAGACACACAAAAAAGCAAGAAAAATGGTCCAGAGAAAAAAGTATCAACAGAATTTGGCTTGGAGCTCTCTCAGACAGGGCCTTTATAATAATTGCGATTAATACCCATAAACAGGTGGGAGGTTCAGAAAGAATCCTAAAACTGTTAAACTATATATATAAGAGACAAAATGATAAAAAAAAAAAAAAGAGAACCACAATATTAGTATGAAGAAATCCTTAAATAAGCTAGTCACCAGGTTAGACACAGCAGAGGAAAAAAATGGTGAATTTGAAGCTAGGTCAATGGAGAATATCCAAATTTAAAGAAAAAGCATAAAAGAGTGAAAAATGCAAAATGGATTGTCCTGGAGTTCTGAAACTATATAAAATGTTCTAACATTGAGAATTAGAGTCTCAAAAGAAGAAAAAAAGGGGCAGGAGAAATAAGATTTGAAATGCAGAAGACTTGAATACCACTATTAATCAATTTGATTTAACTGACATTTACAGAACTCTGCACCCCACAATAGCAGAAGACATACTGGTTTTGAGGGCACATTTGACACTTGTCAAAAAAGATGATATTATTAGTCATAATACAAATGTCAGTAGACGTTATGAAATAAAAATAATACACGTTATGTTCTATTTCCACAGCAAAACTAAAATTGAAACCAGTAACACAAATATGTCTGGAAAAACACCCAAATATTTGAAAATTAAACAACACATTTCTCAATAACTCATGAGTCAAAGAAGAAATGACCAGAGTAATTAGAAAAATATATATATTTTGAGTTGAACAAGAATATAAAAACTCCATAACAATATTTGGGGGATGCAGCTAAAAGCCGTAATTAGATGGAAGTTTGTAGCATTTAATTATTGTATTAGAAAAGGAAGGAGATCACAAATTAGATATCTAAGCATCCACCTTAAGAAGCTATTCCAAGAAGGGTAAGGAAAACCCAAAGTAAGGAAAAGGAAGAAAATAATAAAGAGGAAAACTGAAATCAGTGAAATACAAAACAGAAAAACGATAGAGAAAATAAAAACCAAAAGCCAGTTCTTTGAAAAAAAAGAAAAAAACAATATAACAAGTGAGCCACTCACTGGATTGATGAAGAAGAGAGAAGATACAAGTTACAAATAACCATAATGAAAGTGGCCGTCACTACAGCCCCTACTTGGACTGAAAGGATGATAGCATCATATCAGGAATAACTTCGGGCCAATGAATTTGACAACTTAGATTGAATAGATACATTTCTTGAAAAACAAAACTATCAAAGATCACTCAAGAAAAAGTGGATGAAGTTAACAGTCCTATATCTACAAATTAATTTATAGTTAAAAACCTTCACCACATCACACACATCAAAAAACTAATGAGGTATTGTATGGTGACTACATAACATAATAAAATTAAATAAAAAAAAAACAAAGAAACCTTCCATGAATAACACAGACTCACTAGTAAATATTACCTAATACTTAAAGAAGAATAAAATCAATTTTACACAAACTCTTACAGAAAATACAAAATCACTTTACAATTGATTTTATGAGGCCAGCATTATCTTGATATTAAAGTCAGATGAAAACCTTATGAGAAAAGAGAACTACAGACCAATATTCATAATGAACACAGACATAAATCCTTAACTTAACATTACCAAATCGGGTGTATCAACATGCACACAACAATGCATCACGGCCAAATGAGATTTACTCCAGGAATGCAAGGTTGGTTTAAATTCAGAAACTAGTCAATGAAACTCACTATATCAACAGACCAAAAAAGAAATACAATATGACAATTGAATAGATACAATTTTTTTTTTTTTTTTTTTTACAGAATTCAACATCCTGGTAAAATCTCATAGCAAACTAGGAAGAGAATGAACTTACCTGATAAAAGGTTTCTACAGAAAACTCATAACTAAATCATACATAATCAAAAAGAACCTCCAAAATATTGCTAGAATCATAGTGAGCTTAGCAAAGTCATGGGATATATCAATATAAACAATTCAAAATTAATTTTATTTATACATATATTAGTTACAAACAATTGGAAATTGAATTTTTTTTTAAAGATTTTATTTATTTATTTGACAGAGAAAGACACAGCAAGAGCGGGGACACAAGCAGGGGGAGTGGGAGAGGGAGAAGCAGGCTTCTCGCTGAACAGGGAGCCCGATGCGGGGCTCGATCCCAGGAGCCTGGGATCATGACCTGAGCCGAAGGCAGATGCTTAACAACTAAGACACCCAGGCACCCCTGGAAATTGAAATTAAAAACCAATATATTTGCATCAAAACATGAAATGTTTAGGAATTCATTTGAAAAGATATGTGCATGACTGGCCCACTGAGGGCTACAAAAGTTCTTGCCAACAATTAATGAAGACCAAAATAAATGGAGCATGACACCATGCTCATGGATAAAAATTCTCAATATTTTCAGATAGTAGGGGGAAATCTTTTTCCATAAAAGGCCAAATAGTAAATATTTTAGGCTTTGCAGGCCACACTGTTACCACTATGTACTTCTGTCACTGGGGCACAAGAGTGGCCATAGAAAATGTACAAACAAAGCAGCATGATTGGGCTCCAGTAACATCTATTTAGAAAGACTGCTTGTGGGCAGGATTTGACTCGTGCCCCACATCTGGCTGACATCTGGTTTAAAGGAATGGAAGAAAGTACACTGCTATAAGATAATTGTAAAGTTGGAAGGTGGAGCATATACAAATAATACACATTTGGATTAGTTTTGTGTCACATATCTGATGTATTAAATATCATAACATTTTAAGTAGAAAAAAATTTAAATTTATCTTATTCATAAAAAATTCAAAATCAGGGGTGAAAAGTTTTAAAGACACAACAGTGTTTTGCTTTTATAATTGCAACACATTGGGGTGCCTGGGTGGCTCAGTCGGTTAAGCGTCTGTCTTCGGCTCAGGTCATGATCTCAGGGTCTTGGAATCGAGCCCCATGTCGGGCCCCCCGCTCAGTGGGGAGTTTGCTTCTCCCTCTCCCTCTACCCCCCCTCTCTCCGCTCATGCTTTCTCTCTCTCTCAAATAAATAAAAGCTTTTGCAACACATTGCTTTCCACATATCAGCTACTGACTATTTT